TATACCATTAGTATTAAACTTTGTCCATGGAATCATGTATTCTCTCTGACAATAAAGTATATTATTATTATTATTATTATTATTATTATTATTATTATTATTATTATTATTATTATTATTATTATAATACATTAAACGTATCGGTGCAATGAGAAACTCAAAGTTCACCCCTCTACTTTGAATGGAAGAAATAACTTTACGTGTTAATAGCCCTTGTCTAATGGCTCGGGCTCTTATTTACACAACACGGTCCATAAATGCATATTTTACGTCCTTGATAGATTAAATACCTAATAAATATATAAAAAAAATGAACAGAGAAACAAAATTGTTCTTATATAAATCTCTTATATTCTGAAATAATGTGTTATTAGCTACATAATATATTTTTCCCAGTTATTATCTTTAAACTATGACAGATATTCGTTCTATGTAAAACCAAAAACTCATCTGTTTGTTATTTGAGTAGAAAAACCACCCCATAATCAAAAAACCGTAATAATTCTATAAAGATGATTTACTCATTTGTTTTTCTGCGGCAATAAAAGAGAACCAGTATTTTTCACCGTTTTCACCAGACAGACAACGGAATTTTCCAGAACTCGAACATAAATTTATTTAAAGCCGTAGAAGCTTCCATAAATTAGCTTAATTTGTTGGAAAACATCGACTTTGGGTTTTGTTGACCCAAAAACATCCTACTTCCTGTTAAGTCGGTCAGAAATTTTCAATCTAGAAAGTATTTGAAGGATTTTTTATTTCGGTAGTATTGGAATTTTATTAAGTTTGGTATGAAAAAAAAAAGATACATCTATGCATATAGTAGACAATATAAATGAAGGGTCCAATCAATATTGATGTAAAATGAAATTAAATAAACCTTTGATATAAAATTTTGTTAGTTTTACACAGGGTGTTTCTAAATTGTTGGTACATAGCCTAACTATAGGTTTTAAGGATAACAAAATATGATTAAACTCAAAAGCGTGTGGTTAATTCGGTATATGGTGAGAAATTTTTAAATATAATCATTTAGCTGATAGAAAGTGTAAGCTGTCATAGATTTTCACAAATCTGTAGGTCTATTTTCTTTAGTAATATATTATATATCTTTTTAGTTTTCGTTAATTCAAAAAATAATATGACACGGCATGTTATGCTAAGTGTAACCCGGAATTTGATTGGCGTGATTTCCTCTCCTCTTTAAGATATTGCATACAGCCTCACAGCACCTTCAATTCACGTGTTGCTTGGTTAACTGCTGGAAGCAGGTGGTGGTGGTGCATCGGATAGTTCGTTTTTACGAACAACTGAAATTCCTCATGGGTCACGCTGACCGCATGTCGGCGTTAGTGTTACTTTTTGGCTTCAGGTAAACTCTTATTTACAACCTGGCCAACTTGAACGCTTGAAAAAAATTAAATAAAGTTTATTAGATTCTGATTTTAATAAAACGTACTTAAAGTGGCATGAAGAATGCAAGAGTGATTTGATTGACGAAGTGGATGTTGAGGGAAAACACATGAATTCAGCGAGAATGATACAGACACTGTATTTGAAGCAAAAGATAATGAAATAAAAGGTAGAAATACTGTATCAGAACAAGAAAATAAAAATTATTAGAAGAAAATACAGTAGTAGAACAAGAAGAAAATGTGGTCATGCATATTGCTTCTGATAAGCAAAGTGAATCGGAGGCCACCAAGGTAAATTACTAAGGAAAGAATAGATTAAAATGGTAGTTCAAAAGTTTATATTCTCGCACTATAACTTTAAAACATAATATTGTTACCCATCACCTATTACCCTGCGTTCGTCGTAAGTAAAGGTGCGAGAAGAAGAGAAAGATAATTTCATTCATTGTCAAGAAAATGTCAGATAGTTCGAGAAGGTTCTAAAAGGTTAAAGCAAGCTAAATATGTCGATGATCCTAACATTAGGGGACAGTTTTATGACAGACGTTGTCAATTTATGTTCCCAGTTTTATAGTTAAATTGTAATAGGTGGGTTGAAATAAAAACCAGCCTAACATTGGTGACAGCGGTGGTATCCAAAATAAAAGTTCATGGTTTACTAAATCCACTAAGTATGAAACAGGTATGGATACTTTCGGTCCCCCAGCTTGATTTTTAAAGATGGAAGAAGAGGTAAGAAGGAAGAAGAGGAGGAAATGGAAAAGTGCAGGAAATAAGAAAGGATGAAAGGGAAAGGCGATAGTAGGAGAAGGAAAGGCGCAGGAAGGAAAAAGAGAAAAGAAAACGCATAGGAAAGAAGAATAGGAAGAAATGAAAATGCGAGGATAGAAGAAGGAAAAGCGCAGAAAGGAAGGAAGGAAGAAGAAAAAGAAGAAGAAAAGGAAAGGCGACGAAAGGACGAGAAAACAGAGAAGAAGGGGAGGCATTAGTAGAGGTAGAAATTACGAATGGTTTATGAAAACTTTAGACAATAGGTAAGTGAGCTGAAAAATCAAATTTAAAACAACAAGAAACAGTATTAACAGAAGTAGAGTTAGAAAGGCAAATTAGAACTGAAATAGTTGAGCTAGAAAGAAAAATTTGTAGCCCAGCTTCAGTAAGCAACAGAGAAACTGAAAACACTATCTCATCTATAACCGAACCAAACTATTTTCAAAACCCAGTTTCACAAAGTCATACTAGCAAAATCATTAAGCCATTAACGTTTGATGGTCAGACAACATGGGACACGTATCGACTCCAAATTTAAAGCTGCAGATAGGGCCAATAGCTAGGATGAGAAACAGGTGGTGGGCCTCATTGATAGTTTCGCCGCGAGGACAGGCAGCAACCGTTTTACAGTTACTCCCTTAAGGGGGACCTACTTATTCGTCTCTCATCCCAGCCTTGAAGACAACGTATGGCCAGCAGCATTTAAAGCGGGTATTCCAAAGCCAGCTATAGGTTCGTAGTCAGAAACATAATGAGAGTCTACAGGAATTCGAGGCCTATACAAACAGATTGATTCATTTGGCCTATCCAAAGGCGCCCAAATATTTTCAAAAACAAATCGACAAACAGGCATTCATTGACTGACTACAAGATAAAAATCCAGCAAGACCTTCGGCTAAGGGAGAAACTAATTGCAACCCAGAATATAGAGCAGTAAAACTCATATTTGGATCTTCTCGAATAAAAGTGAGAGAAATTAGATTCAAGAAGAGTGAAGAGGTCAATACTAATACTCATTCTCAACCAACCTTCTCAAAAATATTAAATACGCTTCAAAATATGCAACGAGACAGCTAAATTGAAAGCAGAAGATGTTTTAATTGGGGAAGAATCAGGCACCTTCAAAAACCTGTAGAAGCAGGACTCGTTCTATAAATCGAGAATCAAGGACTCAGTGGGATTCTCTGTATCTTCACATTGGCTTGGTGCACCGAAAGTAGAATAGCCTTGATGGAGAATATATAATTCACCAATTGGTAGTGCTAAAATCATATGTAAGAGGTGTGTTGGAGGAGCTTTATAGCAACCGTTCTGGAGAACATTTTGTTACTAAAAGGACACTAACACGAGTTCTCGAAAGATTTTATTGGATCAATTGTCGGCAAGATGTAGAGGATTGCTGGAAAAAATGTGATATATGCAGTGGCTACATATTTGCTCGGGAACGCCTGAAAGCCAAAAGCGACAAAACAGAAACTGGAATCAACATGCGGGTTACTGGTACACATTTTAAGAGGGGAGACCCAGAATGGCTGTGCAATCCCAAGCACCGAGAAGACACTTAAAAACCAATAAGTATATTGCGGTTAGATAAGAATTCCCACGGTCATTAATTAACACTATCTACCCACTTATTAGGTTAGTTCTCACGGTATTTAAAAAGTTCCCAGTCTCAAGTGCCGAAATCTCTGCTAGTAACTGTATTACAAATATTCAACGATAAGGTTTAATAGTGACGACACCTGATGATTAGGAAATATTTCATGGTATATTCGTAGGCTTCTCCGACAATTTGTTTTACAAAATCTGAGAACCAATATGTGGTGATTGACTCTGCTAGTACTCGAACCACAAGTCAGGTTGATGTGCTCAAAAAATCCCCTTAGATTAGGTTAGATTAGATTAAATTTAAAAGAAGTTGGATATTATTTGTCCTCAACCACAGAGATCCTTTCTAATATACTGTAGGGCTCCGTTATTTAGAGTTATCGTCTACCAGAGTCTTTTTTATTAGAGCTAGTGGCTTTGAAAATGAGTGCCGCAAGTAATTACATGATTTTGGCTTCCCTTTACCTACTGTTAGAAAAACCTTAATCTTACCAGGCCTTCATACTGATAGGACGTAAATTATTCTTCTTCTTCTTCTTCTTCACAAAACCTACGTCCTTCTTCATCTGGATTGTTAACACTCATGTGCCTTCCTAAAAGACAGTGTTCATAAAGACCATCCTAACGATATTTCGTTTTTGATCCGGTAGTTTGTTTGTGAACTTGGAAAGGGTTCAAGGCCTGTCATGACCTTAGATGAGCCTTCTGAGCATTCCAGGTCTAATTTATAATTCTTTTTGTTGCCCTAATATTCTTCATGTCCTAGTACTTAGGTAAAGGTCACTATGTTTTGACTACTTAGGTCTGTCTGGTCTTCTAGATAGTCTTTTTTGATTTGATTTCTGTTAAGAGAATTGGCCTTAGAACTGCTTCGATATCAAAAGTGACGGCAGTAATTTTGCCTGCTATTTGCTGATTTATTATTTCTCTTGCACAGTGTTGAATCACTTTAAGTTCGGCCTGAGACAGTGCTATTTGTTTTCCTATATTCAGCAAAATAGTTTTTTTTTACTTGGGTCCATAGATTAGAGCATAGGCTCCTTACTTTGTATCGAACCGTCGGTATTCCAGAATAGTTTAGCCTTGTGTCCAGGATTCTTGGATGAAAATCTGCAGCTTACACATTTTTAAAAAGCAAAAAAAATCCTTTGTTTTTTGCCATAACAATGATTAAGTGTTTAATTTGTTTTTGGTTTTTTTTTTCAGATGTTCCAGTTGAAGATCCAATTCTCAGAATGGATAAAGAAATACTGGATACTGGTTACAGATTAAAAGGAAACTGTTCAGCACCTCCGTCATGGCCTCCTGCGAATATCACTTGGTTGCTTAATGGAAAACCGGTAAGTACAAATATAATATAAATATTATCATTATTGTGCATTTATTTAAATTTGCTTATAAAAGTTAAACCAAATTAATTTTTCTTTTACCAAATATCTAAAAGTAATATATCGTATTGTGGTTAGTAAAAAAATATATTTATATATATAAAAAAAACAGTAAAATTGTATGAAAAATAATATAAGAGGGTATAAAAAATATACAAAATACGCGCAATGATAGATTTTTTCCCGTATTTCAGTAACAACCGCAAAGAAATTTATACTCTCGTAAAAAAGTTATTGAGAATTTGTTATCTATACGTCGATGAAATGCTCTTATCCAAGCAGTTTAGTTTAAATGCCGGGTAATATTTTTGAGAGTAGAGACGTTGTAGGCCGATTTAGAGAGTTTATTCAATTATCAAGCTAAATCCCCTAAATATAAAAAAATGTCCTTTAGTTGCAAAAGCCAGACAAATTTAGAACGTATCTAACAGATTTTTTAAAGTTGGAAATTACTGACAAAACTTATTTTTGTCATCTATTTTTAATACTGATTTATGAATGAATACAGAAATTTGTACAGTTGTTATTTACAGGCGAAAAATATAGTCAGCAGTATTAGTAGGCACTGAAAGCAAAACGTTTAAAAAATTATCTGAATTCGCTTCAGTAAATCATTACAACGTAAACCACTCAACCGTTTAATCTCAGCTCAAGAAAGTAAGATAGAGTTTAAAACGTTTGAATCTTCATACACAAGGTGTCCCAAAATGTCTTGTAGTAGTCAAAATAAGTCGACTGGATCTATACCATTCTTCCATTTTCTAAAATAATTGAAAGGGTCATGGAATCTCAACTTACCCCTTTAGATACTTATAATATCCTACCTGAGGTGACCTTATTATTAATATTGTTATTATTAAATATTATTATAAAAACAATCTAGGAGAAAAGGTTATGTTATCGTAAGATAAAATGTTATTTGATAATTTTCCGTTTGTTGGTTAATAAAGATTATTATTATTTTTTTTATTTGAAACGAAATTCACCTATTAATAATAAATATAATGACAGTCCGTTTTATATTTCCACAAAATAATCAAAAATCAAATAGTCAGGAAATTTATCAAACCCATTCAATTATTGGAATTTACTCGAATTTTCAAATACGAAACGTTATTAAAATGTAAAGCTGCCCATTCAGTAGTTATCAATAGTTCTATCAAAATGGAAATATTTTCGGTGTTATGCACTTAACTTCGACAACATGTATTTTAATAGATTAAAGAGAGCTTTAGACTGTTTAAAATTGCTGTTCTGATATTTTGTTGATATTATATTTACAAATATTTTGAGTGTAAAATAAAGTTTATTGATTGTCATGTTATTATAATTTTGTTTGGATTTATTCTTTAATTCTAATTATTATAACTAGTGTTCGCCCGTTTAATTAAGAAATATTGAGAAATTGAAATATTAAGGTATAAGTAGAAATTTATATACAGAGTGTACAAAACGTAACTTGCTAGTTTTTGGATTCCTCATTGGTTTGCGAAACAGTTTTATAAAATGAATTAAGTTAATTAGAAATATACTCCAAAATTACGCAAAAATATATTTTTTTAAATAATTTTTCGTACTCTATTAAACTTAAAATAAATCTGTTAAAACCGCATTATTTCAACTTTATTAGCTCGAATACATCCTTGCGTTATTTTGGTGCGCCTGGTCTACTTCTTATTGAAATAATGATAATTTGATTTATTTTATACATTTTTTATCCAAAACGCTTTTGGTAATCCTATCAAAATTAAAAAAAATTAAAAAGTGCACTGACAATCCTACACCATAGAAGCACGTTCGTTCTTCTATGTCCTGTCTTAGATGTTGCTTAGATGAAACTCTACATCGTAAAAACACGCTTCCCACGCGTCCCACCCACCTGGTAACCACCATAAAAGCAAGCGAGGGCTCCCTTTTTATACCTACTCCATTATTTTAAGGTAATTTATAAGTTGAAGAATATTTATGTTATTTGCAATTCCTGCAAAACAAAAATTGAAATTGTCGACAAAAAAGAGAATGAAAACCTGAAAAGTAAAATCTCTAATATCTATTCGAACTTTTCTGAACTTATTACCGAACAAGTGACCAAAGCTATCTTTGACCAATTCCGAGATGAGATAACTCAAAAATTAGATTGCTGTTTTGAAGCTATTCAAGAAAAGATTAAAGACACAATTTCTAAAAATTCTTCAAATAAAGCTGAACCTTCTTACGCCAATGTTGCTTCTCAATCCAAGTTTATTCTGCAGCCAAAAAATAATGTTACTCAATCAGTTTCCACAACTAAATCCGAAATTTTACGTAATGTCAATCCGATGAATTCTAATATTGAGGTCTCGAACGTAACAGCAACACGTAATGGTGCATTAGTAATAAGTAATGTTGCAATTGCTTTAACCTTAAAACTAATCATAACTTAAATATACCAGTTGATCATGCAGCATGGGACAAAGATTGTCATTATTATACAAAAGCGTTTACAAAGTTTAAAAACAATATTATACCTTTCCAATAGCAGATACTGACTCCTACATTTACTTAAAAAAGAAACTTTATTGCTCCTCCTGATGCAGATATTTCTTACATTTCTTCTTATTACCAAAACGTTCGCGGATTCAGAACAAAAACGACCAAGCTCATGGACAACGTTTCAACCATTACTCAATTCTCTGGGTATTTTCTCACCGAAACATGGTGCAATAGTACTATTTTGGATGGGGAATTGTTTGACCTTAGTCAATTTGATGTTTATAGAGCTGACCGTAAATATAATATAATCGGTACTTCGAGAAGTAGTGGAGTATTAGCTGCTGTAAGAAAAGATTTATGCTCAAACATATTAGATATAACTTCACTTACTGAGGTTATCATCAATATTGATAAAAATTAAACCTCGTAATGTAAATATTTATATTTTAATTTTGTACATACCACCAGCCACGTCTACTAGGGACTATGAAATGGTATTTGAATATATTTCGATGCTTACTATTCTGTATAATCAGAAATTAATGATAATAGGTGATTTTAATGTTCCTGAATATACAGCTCAGATTATTGGTCCTAGTTTTTCTACCAGTCTGAGTGCTGTTATGAATTTTGCAAATTTCTTCGAGTTACCACAATTAAATCAGGTTAAAAATAAATTTGGTCGCATGTTAGACCTCGTTTTTTATAACAACCAATGCGAAGTTGTAAGATCGGAGGAAACTATTGTAGAAGAAGACGACTATCATCCAGCACTCAAATTAAATATATCACAATATAAAAAAATTAATAATGTAACTAATAATTCTTCTTCAGTAGAATTTAATTTTAAAAAAGCCAATTACACGACTCTCTACTTTGACCTCCAATCTATCGATTGGAATATTTTTAAATATTATGACTGATGTGAATGACGGTGTAAAAAAAACTAAATGAAAAACAATATGAATTATTTTCACGATGTTACGAGCGTTTTTGGTTTAAAAGAATTTACTAATTTTACAAATTGTCTACCACCCTTGATACGCTTGTGAACACACCGACTAGCTCAGGAGCTGGGGTTCTTGAATTTATAACGCGCCAGAGGTTTGATGGGCTAACTCAAACCACAAAGTTCCTCGTTGTTTAGAGGATAGACAACCACTTAACCAAGATATGTTAGAAATTTATTACAATTTATCAATGTTACGATTTTGACTATAAATTTAGGCTCAAATAAAACTTGTTACTATTATTAACCATTAATGTTGACCCAAATAATAATAATCCTGGACTATAATAAATGAGTACCCACAAAATAGAAAGATAACTCACCTTATAAGGTCCAGTCGTTCACTGGACTATACTGCCAGCTATTCTTTTAAATTTTAGAAATAAAGTACGCTTGTTATTGTTAATGGAGAATTTATTTTCAGAACTGCCTACAAGTATCTCAACATCAAGGCTCCATTTGTTTGAACAAAGGGGCGTATAAGGTTTGCTATCTACAAAAATAGAAAATTAGAACATTGTATTGACAAAAGAAACAAAATGTTTACTGGGCATTTAGTAGCCACAATATCTTATACCTAAAAATAAACCAACCACATAAGGCGTTGAAGTGGAAATAAAATAAAACCAAACTAAATGGCAAGCAAATTACTAGCCCTCATTACAGAGTTACCAGATCAGCGCCTTGGTGTGTCTATAATAAAACAGAAAAATGGTACCCCCCCCACACATGAAAAGTTTTAAACATATATATTATATAAAATATGATCCCCACTAACAATAAAATTTACTATCATAACCCAATTAAATAAATTTACATAGGAAGATTGGTTCCACCAATCCCACAGATAAAGGTGCCATTTTTTATATCACCAAAGGGCGAAGCACTTGATAATAACAACAAGGTAACACTGAACTTGAACGGAAAAAAATAGCTTAGGCACTGGCTCATGGGCGGTTGCCCGGATCTTCTTATTGATTAGAATACCTGAGTACCTTACCCAGGTTGTCTTCCCAGATTTCAACCAAAGGAACAGAAGAACTGACAGGTTCCCAAGTAACTGCCAGGACCAAGGAAGAACTGACCGCAAAGCTGACCGGTCTTCAGGTAGCGACCAAGATTTCACTAAGGAGACTTCGGATTTCCCTAGTTCAGAATGATTTGACCACGGTGTTCTCTCCTCGCAGAGAGTCAAAGTGAATTTTTCAAGCTTTCCGCCGGTCAGAAATATTAGGATTATCCAGAAAAGACAAATCCACCGGCCTGGAACTCGAACATGACAAAATGGTGGGTAGGTCCCCGCGTCAGCACTCTTCGTCATACAACGCCGGTTTAAATCCTTCTTTAAAAGAATATTTCGTACCCTATCCAAACTATATACTACAACCACGATAAAGGGTATGAAAAGGGTATTGGTAAATCGAATCAAAATCCAACTCACAGTTGCTTAACCAAAAATATATGACTCGACCACCTCACAGCGTCCAAACACGAGTACCCAGATCTGTCACCAGTACAAAAAGGGAGGAAACAGGAAGCAAAAAAACCCAACTTCTAGTTGGACATTCTTTTTGGTGAAATGGCCTGAACCATTGACCTATTCAGTATAACGGCACACAGAAATTATACACAACTTAAAACCTAGAAAACTAATTACCTAACCAGCTTAATTTATTAAAAACCCTAAATCTACCAAAGTTACTTTTCCCCAAGAGTAAACCCTTAATCAAAAGAATATCATAATTAAAATTATCTAAGTGGCTGTATGTGCTACACAGTTCAGTGCGGCTCAGACAAAGAAAAGGTGTATAGCGACTAGCTAAGTGACTACTCGAGATTGAGCGACACAGAAACGATTCATTGACCTACTGACATATTCTAACCATAAATAAAAATAAACAGAACCGCACTTAGCTCTGAATTTGGGATTTCTATTATACATATTAAATTAATGTGATACGGAAATGAAATACACAAAGTGCACAGCTGGCAATAAGGATATTTCCCTATTAAAAACAAAATAACCAATACTAAAAGGTTTATATTGTACCAAAGGTATGTTTTAACTACTGACAAATAACTTTAAATAAAAATATAGTAATATTTATCACCCAAAGACTATTAAATAAAAATACTCTTGTAATTAAAAAAAAAAGTGTAACAACGACATGTTCCAAAAAAGAAAGCTAGTAATAAAATGTATCCATGGTTTAATGGGTCTATTATCAAAATGATCAAACAAAAAGATAAAGCTGATTGTCGGTTTAAGTCTACAGGTTCTCTTGTAACTTTAAATACATTCAAATCCGCACGTACTAATGTTAATAGACAAGATAATATACAATATACTGAAAGAATGGAAAATAATATTTAGGAAAACCCTCAGAAATTTTGGACACCTTCTAACCGGTTAAAATTGATGAAATATTGTTGATTTTTTACCGATAATTTTATTTAAATTCTTGATAAAAACAACAAAAAACATTCCAAGGAACTTTTTCCATAAATTACAACCAGTTTTTCATCCTTGATGGAAGCAGTATTGGTATTTAACATTTTTATTGTTTTTCTTTTGAAACGCGGCTATTTTTCACATAAAATTGCGTTGTCATTATTTTTACATCGCAGAAAATCCTGCAAATGGAAATTTTAAAAACATTCATTAATCTTTCCATTTTCTTTTCACCAATTTTCTGTTTTTCTCATTGTTTCGTGGTTTCTGTCAACACGAAACTTGAGATTTACAACGAAATACTGAAGATCTAAATTGCGTTCGTTCTGAAATCTTTTTGTTCTTTGTTGATTCAAGTTTCGATTGTTCGGTACATAAAATGGAGTGTTAGTTTGAATTAACTAGCTAGTTTTTCATTACATATTTGAATTTTTATTTTAGTTATTGCTCGTAATTTTTTCATTTACTATTTAGTTTTAAAATACAGGCTGGAATACAATTTTATTGTCATGAGTAGGATACATAAAACACAAACTAGTCAATTTAAAGTAAAACTAATATAATATAGATAATATAGATATTTATCGTCTCATAGCTATATTAGATTATACAGCGAAACTGTTTCAATTTGTAATATGTGATCAACTATATGCCCACTTTCAAAAATACATATCAACCGAACAGCACGGATTTTGGCGTAAAAAATCTGTAGATGCAAATTTATTAACTTTCAGCAATAAAATATCAAAATGTGTTAATTCTCAGAACAAGTCGATTGTATTAATACTGATTTCAAGAAATCCTTTGATATGGTAAATCGCAATATTCTCCTAGCTAAATTGAAATTAAAATTTCGTTTAAAATTAACATAAAATCACTAAAATTTCTTCCAGAGGGTCTATAAGTATAATATTCCCGCGATCAGCTGACGGTACCTCGCTCTCTTGCAAATAAGTTAGTTGTTTTATTTTTTATCCTTAATGAATTCGAAAGTAAACCTTTGTATTATTTACATCGAACCCGATAATAGAACAAAGAAGGGGTTCTTAAGCTTATTCTAAAATGGAGAAGATTTCATTGATCTAATACATGTTCTCGCTGGACCGTATTGTATTTTTATTTTATTTTATTTAATTTAAGAAGAATAAACATTTTATAATATAAAATTAAATAAATTTACAATGAGAAATGATTCTTAAAATAGATTAAAACTACATAAAATTAACAATATTTAATTCTATCTAATTTTCTTTATTTTCAATCTCATTAAAAATATTTAGTTCTGCTATATCCATAAAATAGAGAAAGATTATTTAAATTGTGGTAAATTAGTAAAAACTATTATAAGAGATTGAGATTAAATTGAAACAAAAAAGAAAGCAAACCTTATATACATATAAATATAAACGATGTATCATCCCTAATAAAAATGTCTAAACTGGTTTTTCAATGGTTTATTTCACGATCAAGAATTCTCAATTACAATGTTGCTGTGGTATTGCCACTGTCTATTCGCGTAATGCTCACTGCGCTGGTCTGTCTTCTCCCGCTCGTACATCCTGACACGCATGTGTATGGACTTCAAGAATGTATGGTGGGGAGTATAGAGAAATACCGCTAACACGGCCATCCTGCAATTGGTGCGTCCTCGCGCCACATATCTGCAATTACAAAATACGAAAACAGAACTACTGTTACGACTTATGAACATTATCACTAATGTTCTTTTTAAACACTAAACTCTAGTGTTACTTTATTATCATAATTTATTCAGGAAAATTTGGTGGGATTGCCACCCTAACACTAAACACTAGTGCTACAACACCAAACACTGGTGTTACTTTATTATCATAATTTATTCAGGAAAATTTGGTGGGATTGCCACCCTAACACTAAACACTAGTGCTACAACACCAAACACTGGTGTTACTTTAATATGATGATTTCTTTAATTAAATTTGGTGGGATTGCCACCCTAATACTAAACACTAGTGCTACAACACCAAACACTGGTGTTACTTTATTATCATAATTTATTCAGGAACATTTGGTGGAATTGCCACCTCAAGTTAACAAAAACATTTTTTTAAATTTAATATTGTGGGATTTCCACCCACCTTTTTTATAGTTGCTGCGACGACCATGGCCACTGATCTTAAGCGGCTACAGTTGTTGGCTGTCGTTTTTTACGAAGTTGATATATTTCATGTGGTAATACCTCTCGAACAGTGTAAAGGTCCTTTTCATTTGGGCCTCAGTTTTCCTCCACCTGTTTGGAACTTTCTTCTATTTCCATTTGATAAAAGCTTGATTTCATGTCCAACGTGGTAAAATATTTGTCGTGGCTTTCCGGGGCGACTTGAACATGACTGATGGTGCCATTTGACTTTCAGGTGAGGAAAACCCGGAAAACCTCACCCACCATCATTTTGAGTGAACTCTGCGGATAATTCAACTGTATAATTTTTTTTTTCGCCGAATTCTGTCGTTAATACGCTACTGAAGTACTGTATTTTAATCTAAATTGACATTTTTCCGGTAGCTATGTAATCAGAATTTTTATTATTGTAAAATATTAAAAGATTCTTCACTTGTATTTTAAAAGTGTCTATTAATTCTAATCGATTAATTTTCATATCGTTCAATTTTTTATTGTAAACACTTGGAATGTTGAGCAGGTCTTGATGTAACTTAATCGTGTTGACATTTTTTTCAACACCTAAACAAGGTCGGCATATGACATTGCCTCTAATAATCTTCAGGAATCACATTATTTGGAACGACCTCTAACGTAATAGTCGGCAAAATCACAAAGATCCATATTTTAAACATTGAGTTTCAATTCATAACAAAAGCACATGGATCAGCTGGCCTATTCGTTTCTTTTAATGTTTTTACTACGAAATGTTTCATTATTGAACTGCCAACATCACTCTCAATAAAGTATTTTAATGACTGAGTTTGTTCACAGTATAATAACATGGCTATCGGTGTCGAATTTAGATAGCGTCACTTTTTTTTTAACACAAATGTTTTTTAAACTTCCTTGTTTATACCAACAATTGGATTCGAAGCGACCCATTTTTTTAATTAATGCACTAATACTGTCAGATTTTTTATGAGTAATAACGGCGTTAAATGTACTCGCCTGATATATTCTCCGACATAAATTTTATTTGGCATGAAACGTTCGGCTCCTCGTCTATCTTTAAACTGACTTCTTGGGTTTCTAATGATCTCTGCATTTTTCGTCATTTTCGACGTCAACACGGATCGACTCAAATTTATTTAGTAATTTTATGAGCTCACCACTCACGTTCGAAAATTGGCTTTTGAATTGTCTAAACTGAATGCCACAGCAAAGCATTATTAAAATTTAGTGATGATCCACACTTTTTGATTTGTACAATCACATAATGAGTTAGAATCACGGCTTTGAAGTGCAGCTGGTGTTTCCTTGTCAGCAAATACAACAATCAGGTCATTACAAAAGTTTTGTCACGCTCGAGAAAGAAGTCCACGGTCACAACAATAACAACAATCGCGATTTTTTAGGTGCACCGCTTATTTTAGCATCATTAAGTTCGTCTTTTATTTTGGTAGCCGATAAGCCATTCTTTTATGGAATATGCGCTGTCGCCAGGGTCATAGCTGGCAAGTCGAAATCGGTGCACAGGCGCGAATGATGGCGCTTGCGTGTTAGATTAA